GTTGGGGGTTCCTGGGGGGGGGGTCTGGAAATCTTTCCAGCTGTTTTTTCAGTAGTGACCACAGGAGGCTTCTGTATTTTCTTCTGTGCAGTGAAATAACATGTTTGTGTATTGGCTTTCCTTTTGTGTTAGATTGGTATATGTTAGTGGATGGGCTGCATTGACACCACTCTCGGTCACCTGATCGAGAGGGAGGAGGAAGGGAAATTAAGTCAGCAGCATTCCAGTTCACTGCCCAACTGTCTCTCCCACAGGGATGCACTGAGGATTTTTTTCCCCTGATATTATTTTTCTCCATAGTTCCAGGCCAGATCCAACCCATTTTCAGATTTGATCGTTCTTTTGCCAGCTTCTACCATACCAAATGTGTTCCCGTTCTCTTAGGTTTCTGTTACGTTTCTGCTGTTGGACAAGTAGACAATTGATGTCTGAAGAAAGATAGTGGGGAGAAGCTGACTTTCCCTCTGGAGAGAGTTTTGGTGGGAGGCTACATCTATGAACCCCAACTTTTGGGGCCATGAGCAAAAGCTCCCCTAGTGATCTTAGTTCATTAGCTGTCTAGTATCGGGAGGAGTGATATTTTCTGTAGTTGAATCCTAAATCATTTAAGTTTTAGAGACTAATATCAGACTTTGAATTGACCTCCAGGCAGTCAATACAGGGCTTTCAGAACTGGTATCATATTGTTCCATTTAGCAACCTTTTTTAATGATCCAGCAGCTGTCTTCTGGACCAGTTGCAGCTTCAAGGCCATCTTTAGTACCAATGTGGTATAGTGATTCTTAAGGTTTTTAATCCACCCTCAACCATCAAAGCTTAGTCTAGCATGCAGAGTTAGAAAAACATCACCTGTACTGTACTTAGATGTAAACATGTACCAAATAAAAATACAAAATCTTCATGAGTAGCCCCAAGGGTAGCTTTATTACTACAAGGATCCCCTTGAAGATTTTGTGTTTTTATGAGGTTATGAGGACATCAGTCACAGAGTAAATAAGATTGTAGCTGTAAAGAAGTTCTTCTTGCCCTTAGGCAGCTTGTATCTCTACTCACAGGTGGGAATTAAGGGGAACCTCTAAGATATGTACCTTCCCTTTGGATAAAGTACTGTCTTGTCTAGAACAGTCTGCTTTCCTAATTGCCAGCCCTAGAAAAAATATATTCAGAGTACTTCTGTCCACTGGCAACTGCAGGATGGTGTTAGGGTGATAGGGTTTAGATCACAATGCCACCCCTGCCATCTGTCAGATTTTGAATCCCATCCCTGTGGATGCTGCTGCCTCTGTCTGGTCTGGATTCACCTTTTGTTGGCTTCGAGCTCATAACTACTTCATTGTCACTGGCAATAATTTGCAGTGCCTCTCCTGATTCAGTGAAAAGCAGGGATAGATTTGAACGATAGAGCATACTGATGACACATTCAGCAGTTTCATGTTGATATTGAACAAAGAATAGAACCCTGTGGGACCCACAATGTAGAATTCTGAGACTAAATAGAGATGGAATCAGTGTAACATTGCTCCCAATTGTTCCTCTTCAGAAATATCCATGATCAGTTTGGAGATCCAAGGGGATCCACACAGCACTACTCTCCCCTTCTCTGTCCTGGAAAAGGAAATTAATTAGGTTGTTTCCACACTACACCCAGGCCTAAGTTGAATAGACTGAAATAGATAATCAGCTTCTTCCAATCTCACATTGTGGAATCATAGAATCATAGGGTTGGAAGCAAATGCTCCTTGTAGGATTTAGCTTCCAAACATCTTAGCATCTTCATTGTTCTCTTCTGCACTCTTTCCAGTTCCTTGGTGTCCCTTTTGTATTGTGGCAACCACAACTGGACATAGTGTTCTAGGTGCAGTCTGACCACTGCAACGTGGAGTGGCTATAGTTGGGTGGTTTCTGTGCTCTTGCCCAAGAAAAGGGTATTCACAATTATGTGGTAATAATTGAAAATCTCAGAGGTCCAAGAGGGGTTACACCACTACTGTCTTCAATGACAGTAGGCATTATTCCGTTATTTTCTCTTTCAACCAGGTACCTCCAGAACCATGTAAAAGAAAATATCTCGATTTTTGATTAAAATTTAATGTTGACTCTAACCGTTCTCCAGTAATCTTTATAAGTTTCATTTGGCCTGTTTGAGGACCCAGTTGGATCAAGGGCTGAGTTACAGCTTTGTTGGCCATGTACTATGATCATGCTGAGGACTTCTTCAACAATGAATCCTGGACATTAAATGACATTTTTGTTTTAATTTTGTTTTAAATGTCATTTAAATGACAAAATTAGTTAGATGTCATCTGTAACAATGTTAGGGCTTGGAGACTGAACCAGAATGTTTAGCCAGCTACATATATGTTGTGATTCACTCACTATAGCAGAGTCTTCTTTCAGGTTCAGTTTAACATCTGCTCTACTGGACATTAGATTTACTAGGGCTTGTCGCCCTGAGGAACATAGCTGTCCTCCTAGTTTAGGGTTTCTCAAACCAGGTGGGCCTGTCCTGTTTTATTGAGAATTTTGTAGGGATCTGTTCAAAACATTTATTATGCCCCTTTTAGAAACTATTTCTAAACAAATTCCTTCTCTGTCTGTCTGTCTCTCTGTCTCACACATACAGTACATATATCTATCAATCTATCAATCAATCACCAGGCAACATTCTCTGGTTATCTGTAATGTAGCAAAATACTGTATGGTGACACATACAATGCAGCCATGGATAAATGAGGGGATACCAGCCAAATTGTAAACTATCTTTCAGTTGGAATACATACAGTAATCCTTTCTTGCTTTTATGTTACTGCCTGTTTTATAGTGTGTTGTATTATTGTCTGGACATTTTAAGTTGCTGGGTTTTGGTCATAATAAAGCATTCAAGTGGAAAATCAGTATTGTGAGTATTGAACAAATATATGAATGAAGGGCTTTGTAACAGCAACCTATCTCTATTTCTTCCTTTCTTCCTCTCTCCCAAAACTTATCTTTATGCTGTCCTTCCCTTGTGGTGCTTTCTCCACAGAGAGAAATGGGTGGATCTTTCCACAGCGTTGCAATGATGTTATATATAATTATTTAGCGGAAAGAAACCCCAAACAATTACTTGAGGCATGCAGAGAAATCCCCTCTTCTGAAACAAAATAGATTGCAGAGGGATTTCAGTACAGAGTATAAAAATGAATTTGTGAAATAAAAAAAAAATAGCTCAGAATAACTGTTATATTAGAATTGGCAGATGTACAACTGGGGAAATCTTGTGGCAGTCAGTGAAAGAGCTTTGTGAGAATATTGTCTGGTATCCTGCATTAATTCAAACCTCTAGTTAGCTATGCAGTTCCCTGGATGATCCTTGGGAAAGTATGTTATTTCAGCATAGCTTATCTGTTTAGATTTTTTATGAGAATATTTAGGATAAAAGGTGCAAAGCAGCATACACAGAGAAATGCCATAAAAATGAGTAATGATGGGAAACTGGAATATGAAAAGATCTAACATAATTTTAATTTCTTCAGTGGGAAATAAACAGGTTCCAAAGCTTAAATATGATTATCAAGACAATTTTGTTTTTTCCAGTAATGATTTTGGACTGATACTATTTCTGGCTTGTTAAAGAGCAGGTCTACATAGCTACTAAACCAGACAATGCTAAACATCACATCAGTCTTGCATTATGGCTGTCTACTGCTTGATAAACTGCCTGTTGTGATGGTCTCTCTGAAAAAAGTTTATTAAACATTGGTGGCCAGCATACAGGTGCAATCTGTTCACTTTGGCTTGATAGAGATACACTGTCCATACTGATTTAAGGTTTATACCATCAAATCTTGAGTGGAATTGGTTCCTAATCCATTTTCTTTGGAAACATCAAAGTTTGTTTACATAGGCATTTATTTAGATGTAATGGCTTTATTATGCTTTTCCCCATCCGACTACACAATCAGAGCAAGTAAACACAAGGTGGGAATGTTCTACAAAAACTAATTTCCATTCAAATGTGTATTAGGTAGACCACACTGCAAGATTAATTTGAAGACAAACAGGATAATTTTCTTATTCAGATAAATATATAAAACCATTTAAATTTCTAACTGGAAATGAACTTGGCAGAGTTGAAATAAGAAATCACAAAGGAAAATAAATATTTGGTAAAAAGAATGGGACAGAGGAGTTTTTGATTGGCTTTGTGTGACTGCTTGTGTCACAGGACACTGAACTGGATGAACAATTGGTAGGGTGAACAAGAGGAATCCCCAACTCTCTGTCCCATGTGTGGTGAAGCAGCAGGTTCAGTAGGTAGGCAGTAGAGATAGGTAGAGGAACGTTCTAGATGTACAGTGGGATGGTTGCTAAAGGTGTGGCACAGACCTTGTATATGGAGTAAGTACTGGTAGTTGAATCATCTGATTCCAAGGACAAAGTAGATTCTGGTCTATGATTTGTGTACAGGTAGTCCTCATTTAGTGACTGCCTCAGATAGTGACTGTTCACAGTTATGATGACAAAAAAGTAATTCGCAACCAATTCTCGCAATTATGACCTTCACAGTATAGAGTATAAAAATGAAATGAAAGCAAAGGAAAGCAGAAGTAAGATCTTAAGCACAGTGGTGGTATCATATAGCAATCACTTTGCTTAATGAAGGAGTTGCTGGCCCCAGTTATGGTCGCTAAACAAGGATTACCTGTATTCTGACATGAACTGCCTTCAGTTCCATTTTCCAACTATTTGTTCTGGTGACTCTGGCATTAAAACATTGTTTCAGCAACTTAGTTTCGGTTCCATATTACCTCCGAAGTGTGAGGCGTTTACCGTGACACACAGAGGATTTGATGGCACAGTGGTTCTTTCCAGCATGTTGATTCTGAATGTTCTTTCTGTATATGTGAAATTGATATGTGTTTATGAATGAGTTGGTCTTTTATCATCATCATCATCATCATCATCATCATCATCATCATCATCATCATAATAATATCATCTCTTTTCCATCCAAACAGATTTTAATACTGGCTGGGCTTAGCCAAGCACAACAGGGTCCTGATGGGTGATTCAGGATCGAGGCGTTCAATCATTGTGTCCCGTTTGCCAATATTCCGGCGAAGTATTAACCGAAGACATGATTCCCTCCCATCATCACCAACTTCCAACAGTACTGTTGGGGTTCACAGCTCTTCTCCCTCCAGCACCAACTCTAGTTCAGGTAGCACAGGCAAACGCAGGAGCCTCTTCCGCACACCTTCCATTAGCTTCCACCACAGGAAGGGGAGTGATCAGAAAACCGAGTCTTCGTGCCAGAATGTGGGCATTTTGAATGGTGCGCAGTCTAGCCACAGCACTTTGCAAAAGCTCGGTTTGGAGGAACACGTGAAGAACAGAGGGAGGCATTCCGTTGGTTTTGGAAGTTCTCGAAATAAAAAGATAACAAGGTCCTTGACAGAGGACTTCGAAAAGGGGAGGGAGGCCTCAACCAATAAGAATGTTTTCATAAATTGCATAAGTTCTGGGAAGAATGAAGGTGATGACTCTGGCTTTACAGAGACCCAAAGCAGGTCTTCTGTTAAACATTCCTCAAGGAAACTTCTCCCCAAGTCGTTCTCAACACACTACAGATTCTCAAAGCCAGTCCCTCAGAGTCAGTCAGTTTCCTGTGTGCAACCATCTTCTTGCTTGTTGGATATTAAATCCAATGTTGAAAGTGATCCTGTGTCTGCAAAGTCCTCTCCTTCAGAATGTATAGGCAGCTCTTTGCAATCACCAATGCTTTCCACTGACTTGACAACTGTACAGACACCATCCGAGTTTCTAGCATTGACCGAAGATTCTGTTTCTGAGGTTGATGGGCTGCCCACCTGTGGAAATTTGCACCCAGAAACCTTGGCCCACAATGTGTCTACCTCTCAAACCTTTCCTAATCCCATTGCTGCTGCTCCTCTTTCAAGGAAAACAAACCTTACGGAAAGTATTTCCCCTTGTGCTGAAACTTACAGGTCTAGAAATGTACTGCTCAGTGAAGCTAGTGCTTTCTCAGAAATCCTTGATTCAAGTCGAAAGCATACAAAAGTATTATTGCCAGAGCTCTTTGCTAAACAGACCAGCCATCCAGAAGATGTAAACTCAGGAGCTAAAGCACAATTAAAAGCCTTTGTCTTAAACCAGGGAGAAATAACTGAATGTTCTCCAAAAGCACAAGGATTACAGAGGGACCAACAAAAAGCAAGAATATCTGAACATGTAAGAGAAACCTTTCCAGGAACTGAATCTAAGATCACTCCTTTGTCTTCTGAACTTCAGTCCTTTCAAACACAGCAGGGAAATGAAATAAACCATGCAAAGGGTATGTATGCTCAGCCACTGCTGTCTTCCGAAAAATGTTCTTTTCTAAAAACTTTGTGTTTGCTTCTAATGATGTATGAGTAATATTAGATGACACCAGTTATGCTTGGCGTGTCATGAAGATGCTGCTTCTTGGGTCTCCAAGTTACTGGTGAGAGATCTTATAAATGAATGATCAGTCATACTTTCCAAATTATTTGGGATTACAAAGATGTTAGGGTTTTTTTTAGTTTTTTTAAAGACACATAGCAATGGATGCTATTACTTCCTAAAATAAGCATTCAGGAAGATTTATTAAAAGCCCTTCTATTGAAGCCATCTGTTGGCTTAAGGGGTCACATTCAAAATCATACAAAAATTTCTAGGGAGACATTGGAGGCAAATGATGGTCAAAAAGAAATCTGACTTCATTCTTCCACCTTACTCTGGTTTGTAGCACAATGAGTTTCTACTGTAACATATTCCACAGCTTTTTAATTCCATCTTCTTGCTTGTCTCTAAGCTATTCTTCAAATTCCATTATCCATTTCTCTTGTAATTTGAAAGTTATGGATATCAGATCCTAGAATGCAATTATTGGCATAATGCTACCTAGCTTCTGCACTGTAATACCCCCTTGCCCCAAATCTAATTTTTTTTCACTATGATAATATTGTGCCAGAATTTTCCAATAGCTGGGTGGCAAACCCAAATCAAGATTTAACTGGCTCAGCAACTTCCAAGTCATGCACCTTTGATTAAAAGAGACATTTCTGAATAATGTTTGCATCATTGATGGTGATTGTAAATAAGTGTGCATATCTTACTTTGCAGTGAGTCTTCCTAGTAATTTTAGTCCATTTCGAGAAGGAAGATTCATAGAGAAGCGTCTAAGATCCTCTTCAGAAGGCACTGCTGGGAACAGCCGGATGATCTTAAAGCCAAAGGATGGAAACCCAGAAGAGCTGAATTGTTTAAGAAAACAGAGGACAAGCTCATCATCTTCTAAAATGAATAGCTTGGTAAGTTTTACAAACCCTCCAGTGGTTATTGCTTCTTTCTCTCTTGTTCTTCATGAATAAACAAAATCTGGTAGCATAAATAGAAATTTTAGTAGTGTGATGATGACTCAGGTTTCCTGAGCCTGAAGTAAGTTTGAATTATGGATCCCAGTTCTTTATTTAGAAAACAGTTGCATACCTATGGATAAACTGGACAGTTACAAGCATAATGTTTTCTGGAGCTATGCTATAGGAAAAGTTGAAAGCATATGCTTTATCTGTAGGAAATGTCCATATTGGTCTGGAGCACCTCCAGTTTAGAAGATAACTGACTGAGACCTTGGATAGCTGATGGAATTGATAATCTGGATGGTGGGCGTGCATAAATATCACAGTGCCATAACAGTGCTCTCCTAAGAAGTCTCTGACTCTAGTGGGAGTATACTTTTATATAACAAATCATGTTTCAACTTGGGAGGGGTGACAATAAAAACTTCTAGATGGTGCTTGAGTCACTGTTGAATGCAAATGGGTCATCTCACATGCACAACTCTCTTTAATGTTCTCCTCTTAGGGAAAAAGTAGAGGCTAGTTATCATGTTGAATGGAAAGAGATTTCAGTGGAGAAATGTCCCTTTTTTCATACCTGTTTCCTGCAGCAGAATTTAAGGAGTGAAGCTGCAGTGATTCTGGTATAATCTCAAAACAAATGTATGAATAAGCCAGAAATACACAATCTGAGGCCTTCATGCAGGCCCTGAACCCCAGAGGGGTAGGGGGGGGGGGGGGTAGACCTTTGGGTATGGTCTGCTAAAATTTTCAATTTTTCCCCAGAAGATCATTTTTGATGTGACAGAAGATAAATGATCAAATAACTGACTGAAGAATAATCCTATTGATGATTATACATTTAAATGTTTAAATTAAACAAGTTAGTGTTTGCTTTGGAATAGTATTTGTTGGACTGCAGTGCCTGCCATGGGGCTTGGAGAGCAAGCATAGCCATTGATTTGGAATAACGTGCACACTGGGTTAGTGCAGTGCCTAAGTTTCAAAGGGAGAAGGTGTCTCAGAGCACGCATGGATGCACGCCATACCTGTCTGCCATTCCTTAAAGCCATTGTGATTTTTTTTTTTTCTGGGATTGTGCTGCAGTTGCACAATTCCAGGAAAAATGGTCACT